GGTATTTATGAGTCCCTACTGTTCTGATCTGGGAACTTAGTAACAAAATGAATGTGATTCTGGCCCTACCCTAGAATGGAAAGTGATGGGTTCTCAGTGTTTAGTTGTTAACTATCTACCATAAGCTTTACTTTATGAGTTAGTGGTCCATTGTAAGATTTATTTTAAAGAAAGAGTTTTGATAAAAATGAGTCAACACTATTTAAAAATAACAAGTCTACTCTAATCCCTTGTTTTAATGGAAAAAGTTATAGTTCAAAGACAGAAACCAGACTGCCCAAGTTTTCATTCCACTATTGGCAGGGCAAGGACCAGAATGCAATGCTGCTGATTCCCAAGTAATTTCTTGTCCCACTTCCCGTATTCTTCTCTTTCTTCCCTTAGCAGACTGACCTAAGGGAAACTTGCAGATTTGGAGTGAGAAGTTCGACATCTGAAATACAGAGAATTAATTCCATTTTCCTGGCACTTGGTTTGCTCATTCATAAAATGAGGATACATAAAATGAGGATTCATGGAGAATCGAATCAGCTAAAATATTTTGTAAACAGTCTATATATGTTGTAAAATACTGTACAGATGTCAATAACTATAGTCTAATACCCTAAGTCTTTTCACTGATACTTCTCAAAACAAAATAATTGAATGATAGAGTAATAACAGCATAATGAAAAGAAAATAAGATGTCCTATTTGGTCAAACTAAAGTTGAAAGAAAATAAATAAATAAACAATACCTGGGTTGCAACCTGGCCTTCCTAGATGATATCATTTAGGGGTTGAGGCTTGAGCTCTAGAAAGTCAGACAGATTCCAGAGTGGTGTCATTATTTGAAATATAAAATGGTGATGAAACAACAAAGCCTATTTCATCATGCTACTCTTTGAGATGATACTTTTAAAGCATTTATTAGTGTCTAGGACATAGTAGGTGTTGAATAATTATCAATTATTATCTTTTACTCTAAAATATTGAAAATAATTCCTACCTTATGGGATATTCATTAGGATTAAATGAACTAAAGTTAATTGCACATCCATTAAGTGACTGATGTATATAAGATATTGAAAATATGTTCTTTCCCTTTCTCTTCCTTTCTCCTGATATGTGAAATCAGATGCAACAATTATAGTTACTGGAAAACTATAAAGGGCATGTCACAAGTCCATTTCTCTTAGTCAGTGGCTAGACAATTTTAACATATGCCATAATCTTCTTGAGATTTATTAAAGAAAAAAAAAACATCTTTGATCCCACCTTCTATGGAGAGGGAGCTCAGAAATCTTATTTTTAACAAACACCCCAATACAAGTAATGTAAATGATGAGTTAACACTTCCTGAGAGGTCTAAGCCCTTGTTACTCAAAGTGTGGTCTTTGTTCCAACAACAACTGTATCACCCAGAGATTTGTTAGAAATACAGAATCTCAGCCCTATTTCTAACTTGTTGAATCTTCATCACATTTTAACAAGATCCCCAGGTGGTTCCTGTACATGTCACAGTTGAGACATGTTGGTCAAAGCTCTGCCCTCTGGTCAATTAGGTAAGTCATGATCACCTGGATCTCATTATCTTTTCCTCTGAGAAAATCTCTTCATCCAATTTCATCATAAATGTCATCTTTATGAAAGATTGGTAGAAAAATATGGGCGTATTAAGATATTTCAACATTTCTGCTGAGTTAATATCAGAGATTTTACTCATTATATTGTCTAATGCCTTTCATTTAAAAGACTATATGATAAGTTAATTTTACAAGAAAAATGTCACTTCTAAAATCTCTCTCCTGGTGATTTTTTTTTTTATTTTAAAAAATGGGAGTGACAAATGATTAGGATTTTTTTCCATTGGCTGCTATCTTAAAATGAAATTTGGTATTCAATGATATTAATTCTATTAGCCTAGGTTTGGAGTATGTTAATTATTCTTTCCATTGGGATAGTTCCAGCTTTTCTACTGCTCTTTTAAAGATTTGTTTTAAACATAGGTATAATTTAGGTACTTATAAAATTCGCAGACTTATGCATGTCTGCATATTTTCACACCCTTACAACCACCATCCAGAACAAGACATTGATTATTTTCATACTCCCCTATGCTTGTACCCCTTCGCAATCAATAGCTCTCAACTTCAACTCTGTCACTTGACTTCTGTTACACTGATTAGTTTTGGCCATCCTTGAGCTTCATATAAATAAGATCATAGAATACACAATTTTCTGTGTTTAACTTCTCTTAATATAATGTCTTTGAAATCCATCGACATCGTGCGCTTATCAGTAGTCTGTCCTTTATATTGCTGTGTAATATTCCATTGTAAAATGGAATGTTAAGTACATCACAAATTTTTTATCTATGTTTCTGTCGATGGTCATATGAGTTGTTTCTAGCTTGATAATATTATAAATAAAGCTAATGTGAGCATTTGTATATAATTATTTTGGTGGATATGTGTATAGTCTAATGGGTGCATATCTAGAATGAATTGCTTCTTTAGTAGTCTTCTGTGTACATGAGGATATATGGAGGATATACATCAGTATTGGAAATAAATTTTTAAAATAAGAAGGAAGAAGCACAGAGAACAAAGAAACAACGACAGCATTTCAAGATTAATAGTATACCATAGTAGAGGAGAGAATACTTGTTAAGGAATATAGAACCCTGGAACAACCCTAGACAAGTCATTTCTTTCTGGAATTTTGTTATTTATTCATTCAAAAGATTGGTTGGTAGACTAGATGTCTTCAAGGATTCTTTCCACCTTGATACTCTAGGAATTTAGCATGAAAATGTTTAAGTGAATTATCTGGCAATTTGAAAAGGAAATACATTAGAGTCCTTTCTGATAAATAAGCTATGAGAGAAAAGACTTCTAGAATTTTTCCTTCAAATATTGAAATTGTTTCTCATGCCAGGCCTATTTTGTTGAGCTGACTGATCAGAGCCTATGTATTCATTGGGCTACACTTACTGAAGCATGAGGCCACTGTACCTTTTAATGCAGGAACCCACATTGCCCATCTCTTTCTCATTTTGTCTTCTGCTGCAAAAAATCTCAGTTCTAAGGTAGGCTTGTCTTCTTTCTTAGCCTACTTCTTCCCACCCCCATGTCCAGTTGGATAAATACATTCAGGGAGCTTTGTGCACATTTACATGTTCCTTCACCCACAGGCATCCTTCAGCCCATGGGTCTCAATATCTAAACTTGGGGAAGATATGAAACTTCACTTTCTCTTTTATTAACTCTTAACTCAGAATTATCAGGTATTTATATATTAATGGATGCTAAATTCTTGGCTATTAACAAAGCATTTTTCTTCTGATTTTTTTTCTTTTGCCGTCTTATGTGTATCATTCTCGTAGTAAAGCACCTCAGTGGGGAAAAGGATGAAAGGATGTAGGGTTGCTCAGATTCCCTCAAGGACTTCAGAAACAGGATATTGAGAGATCATAGAAGCCCTATACCCAGAGCAGTCAAATGTGCCAAGAAAAGTGAGTTGTTAAAACAAGGAGCCATAGGGAGAATCCTGGCACTGATTATGGCTTCCAGGAGATAAGCTTCATAAACATTCAAACCACAAACTCCATAGCCACAGATCAGGAGGGTAGCTCAGCCTTGGATGTCAATGGAAATAAAGGTGCTAAAGAGAGAGGAGCTCTGGGAACCACATCTTGTTTCTAGACTCACCAGCTGAAAGACCTGAACATATTATGGAGCATTGATCAGGCATCTGTCACAAGCCCCACCTGAGCTTCTCTTCTTATATGACACATTTATCTGCCCCAATAGCTTTTATTATAAGGTTTTAAATCCCATTCCACATGTGGTAAAAAAAAAAAAAACATTCACAATGATTAAGATACCTGCCCTAGCAAGCAAGTTAGTATACGGTGAAATCAACTTTAGACTTTGTCTGACTACAAAGCCCATGACATCTTTGTCATGACCAGCTAGCTCCATCTATCATTCTACAAATGAAGACATTGCAGTCCAAGAAGCCTATGCAAGTTGTCAGAGTCAGGATGAGAATCTGGGATTCCTGACTCACTATTGGGTCAGCTCCAGTCCTACTGCTCTGTCTTATTAATGCCAAAACAAAGCAAAGCCCCATGTGGTTTTCAATACATTTTCTGAAATGTCATGAAGAGATTGTTTTGTCATCTCTTTTTTACAAACTCGAGTACTGAAGTCATAGTGTCTTGATTTGAAGACTAGCTCTGTCATTTGAAGTGTAATATTAGCAGGTTACTTAGTTTTCCTCTGCTTTAGTGTTTTCATTTATAAATGGAAAAAATGCAATGCCTTCTTAAGGTGTGTTAAGACTAAATGAGACAATACATGTAATTAGTTTAAAGTTGCAGTAGGTATATAAGCACCATATCACAAGTAGCAGCTATTATGATTTCTGATCTATTTCTGATGCATTAGTAGGCAAGGTGGTTCTACTGGATGGTCAGAGGCTTGAGAACTAGAAGAGTGATTATTTGTCCCATGATATTCACAAGTTTACACAGGTACACTTCCTTAGGAACTTGGATTAGATCGCTATCTTAGACTGGAGCAAAGAGCCAGGGTATGTCGCATCCTTATAATTTTCCAATAGATTTTAATTCATTACAATCTGCCAGATTGTAATGACCTGAGTTGGGTTCCAAGACTCCAGAGATGAAAAGGACAGAGTGCTTTCTCATGTTCAGCCAATCAAAGGTCCCTCAACAAATGAAGATAGTGTTGAGGAAGAGGTGAGACCTAATCTGTTTGCTCATATAGACTCCTCAGACAGCCCCCAAAGACCACCAGCAAACCTCTTTGCTTCAGAACCTGATGAATACTTGAGCTGAAAATCCAGCCTGGGACATTGAGAATAAGACTGAGGAACAGGGAGAGAATTACTTGCCTATGATCAAGGCTCTTTCCTGGGCCTTTGATCCCTCATCCATAAAATAAGTAGATTTGTTAGTGTCACTAAGCACTAAAGAGGAAATATATTTAATTCTTGCTTAGCAGCACATGTACCAAAATTGGAACAATACAGAGAAAATCAGGATGGACCCTGAGCAAGCATGACACAAGAATTTGTGAAGCATTCTATATTTTCAACTGAAAAATAAAATTCATACAGAAATAAAAAGAAGATCCAGCAACTTCATACTAAATAATAATAATGATGATGATCATCATCATAATAATAATATTATCCTTTAAAGTGAAAACAAAAAGATAGATCCATTAAAATGTCTTCTGCTCATAAAAAAACTCATAAAAAAGTGTTTTCTGAATCAGAAATAGGTGAACTTGTTCCAGAACTATTTTTAAAAAATTCCATATGAAAACTAAAAGTGGTGGTGCCTGGGGGGCTCAGTCACTGAAGCATCTGCCTTTGGCTAAGGTCATGATCCCAGGATCCTGGGATAGAACCCCACAAGGCTCCCTGCTCAGTGGGGAGTCTGCTTCTCCCTCTCCTATTGCAGCTCCCCCTGCTTGTGCTTGCTCTCTCTCTCAAATGAATGAATGAATGAATGAATGAATGAATGAATGAATAAATAAATAAATAAATAAATAATAAACCAACGAACCAACCAACCAATCTGAAAGTGTAGCACTGTTACATCGAGAAGTTAAATAGACAGCTTTAACCCCAGAAAAGTACCTGTTTCCCACCCCAACCAGAACTACAGAGCTGCAGTGAGTGTCTGAGTCCAGAGCCTGTGGTCTCAGAGAGCTGAATACAAGAGACAGTCAGTAACTCTAGCTACAGCCACAAGGAAGAAAATAGAAATCAGTCCTTGAACTACCAGGAAAGCACTTTACTAATCACCCCCCAAAATATGTGAACTTTCAGGAATCCTGAAGGGAAAGGAAGGAAAGTCAAAGGATTGGATTCATAATAATTCTTGGGTGTAAGCTCCAATGCAAATGTGCCTTTTCCTGGGGCATCTGAACCTTTGGCTCAGGTCCTGATCCCAGGGTCCTGAGATGGAGTTCCACATCAGGCTCCCTGCAGAGAGCCTGCTTCTCCCTCTGCCTATGTCTCTGTCTCTCTCTGTGTCTCTCATGAATAAATAAATATAATCTTTAAAAAAAAATACAAAAGTGCCTTTTCCTTACTGTTGTGTTATCGTCCTTCTCCTAGCATGTATAACTTGGGGAAGCAAGCCTAGATATGTGTGTGCATGTGCGTGTATATACTTCCCCTGGAGAATGACAAATGAGCTAAAATTATAGCAATACCAAAGATTAAAAGATGCACTTGAGGGGGATCCCTAGGTGGCTCAGGGGTTTGGCGCCTGCCTTCAGGCCAGTGCATGATCCTGGAGACCCAGGATCGAGTCCCACATCGGGCTCCCTGCATGGAGCCTGTTTCTCCCTCTGCCTGTGTCGTCTCTGCTTCTCTCTCTCTCTCTCTCTCTCTCTCTCTCTCTCTCCTCTCTCTCTCTCTCTGTGTGTGTGTGTGTGTCTCATGAATAAATAAATAAAATCTTTAAAAAAAGATGCACTTGTTATAGGAAGTAGGAATGGATGTGAGTGAAATGGGGAAAGACTTTATAAGAGAATCACTTTGATTTACAAACACCATCAGAACAGGGACTGGGTTGGTCTAATCTGTTGTTGTATCTTCAACATCTAGCACAATGGCATGTAGCAGGCAGTCAGTAAATATCAATTGAAAGGACAGATTAATGAAAAGGGAAAGAAGAACAATCTAGACACAGGAACATAGGATGTAAGACATCACCATTGTTCTGTCCACAGCCTACCTAACAAAGATGAGAATGAATTACCTAAGAGAGGGTGGGATTATCTGCTTTTTTATAGCAAGCATGGGCCCAAACCTTTGCAAAAGTGAAGTTATTGATTGGAGGATGTGACAGGGCCTTTTACTTCCTATCTCACTTGTGACTTACCACCCAGTCCCTGATGAGCTTCCTCCTCAGGGAAAGGAACAGTCTTGATGGGTAGACCCCAAGAGATGAGGAAGAAAGAGAAGGAGTGCTCCTCCCAAGTATTGCAGGTGCAAGAGAACAGTGACCTTTCTCTTGAGGATCATCAAGTGTGAAGGCCAGTGGCCAGTGGCTGCTAGTATATTTCCAGGGAAAATAGCCTCTTTTTGGAGAGTAGGAACCAGCAAGGGCATAGTGAATCAAGGAAAGCATTTACTTCCAATATGAATCAAAGCAGAAACATGAAAGCAAGAGGATAAAGCTATCTTATTGTCTTAAGTTGAGCAAAGGTACAGGTAAAAGGAAAATAAAATAGTTCTGCATGATGGAACCCAGGGTATTGTGAATGGGCATTGCTGATGTGAGGTAGATAGAGACCAGACCATGTCATATTGAGAGTTCTGAAGATCAAAAGATGCCAAGGCAATTTTATAAGATGGAGAGTGGCAGGATCCTATTTGACACTGGAAAGCAAAGACTCATTCAGATTCTTAATGTGTGGAAGATTCTGAAAATGGCTACAAAGTCTTCCAATTCCTGCATACATATCTCTTTAATCAAGAGGCAGAGTAAATTTGCACCCTTCCTTCTTTGAATATAAATTTGGGCTTTTGCTTGCTTTGACCACTAGCTCACTAATAAGCATGATATAAACAAGGTTGAAAGTTCTTGCACATTAGGACTTTCTCTCTCTCACCATACTCAGAATCCTGAGATGATGACCTGAGACGACCTAAGATGACCATGGACCTGAACCCAAACTAGTTTGCTAAAGTAGGAGAGGTCAAATGGAGAAGACTGAGGCACCAGAGTGCACAGCCTACAACAGTCAGGCATTACAGGTGTGACCATCTTAGATCATCCAGCTACTTGCCAATGCATTAGCTGACCACAGGTCTATGGGAAAGCCCAGAAGGGATCAGAAGTTACTCAGACCAGAAAAGCCACCCAGTCAACTAACAAAATAGATGGAAGAAGAGAAGGAAGAAGAAGAAGAAGAAGAAGAAGAAGAAGAAGAAGAAGAAGAAGAAGAAGAAGAACGAGGAGGAGGAGGAGGAGGAGGAAGAGGAGGAGGAGGAGGAGGAGGAAGAGGAGGAGGAGGAAGAAGGAGAAGAAGGAGAAAAAGAAGAAGAAGAAGAAGAAGAAGAAGAAGAAGAAGAAGAAGAAGAAGAAGAAGAAAGAGGTAGAGGAGGAAAAAGAGAAGGGGGAGGAGAAGAAGGAGGAAGAGGGGAAGAAGAAGGAGAAGAAGGAGAAAAAGGAAAGAAAGATCATTGCTGTAAGCCACTAAGTAATAATAGCTAACTGGTATGGAATGTGACCTGAATGTCAACTCCTCTGTATTCATACTAATATAGTATTGAACAGTAATCTACAAATAGAAAAACTACAAAAATATTCCAGAAAACATCCTCAGTATATATAAAAATGTAATATATGGCAAATGTGGTATTTTAAGACAATGGAAAAATAATAAATTATTTAGTAGTTCTAACACAGTTGATCATCTTCCTAAAGAAAAATAAGGTTGGATATCTATCTCATGCTAAATATAAGAAAAAAGTCAATGGATAAACTATTTAAATGTGAAAAACAAAATTAAAGGACCAAAGCACACAGCAACCTAGGGTTTGGAGAGACCTCAATAAACACAGAAAACCCAGAAGCACTAAAAAGAATATAGACACAAATAGCCATAGAAATGGGAGAAAAGATACTATAAAGTCAATAAAATGGGAAGAATGAGGGGGAGGGATAGCAATACAGTTGACAGATAAAGAAGTAGTATCTATAACATGGAGTTATCACATATTATCAAAAAAATAAAATAGTAAAGTCTACATACATGTAAGTTGTAGAAGAGAAAATTCAAATGGACAACAAACATATGAAAAGATGCTCGAGTTCACTGGTAGATGAGGAAGAGCAAAGTATTACCTTATATATCTATTTCCTGTCAAAGTTTAAAAGGTACAATAACACTGACTACTGACAAAAATGGAGGAATATACTCGTATGCATCACTTGTAGACACGTTACTTATTACAATCATTTTGGAAAGAAACCTGAAAACATCTATTCAAAATAAAAATGCACCTTTGACCCAGGAATCTCTTTCAACCCAGAAGTCTCACTCTCTGGAACCTACCCTAGAAATAAAGGGAACTGAATGTAAGAGTGTTTATTCCAGCATTGTTTCACGGGGGGGGGGGGGGGATCAGAAACAAGGCATATCCACCAGGAGAATGAGATTAAATAAATCTTACTGCATCTACATTTTTTATGGAATACTGACCAGTCATTAAAATGAATTTGAGCAATAAGGTTAACTCATGAGATTTCTATCTACTGACAAGTCGAAAAAATAAGATAATAGAAAACGTATGGGAGATATAATTCAGTTTTTTTCTAAAGCAAACAAGGAACTCCTTAATCCCTTAATTTATATATTTATAAGTGAATAGATATCTATATTTTTAAATGGTTATAAAGGATGGATAAACTATGCATAAAAAGATGCATTTTTTTTTACCATGGGGAGAGTAGATAAGGTAAATGCTTGGCAAGGAAAACAGCAGATATTGAAAATAAAAATAGGAGAATGAGAGGAAAGATGACACAGTAGAATAACATATATAGTATAATCCCACTTGCGTAAAATGTCAATTTAGGACAAAGATTATATGCATTATATATATAATTTCTATATAATGTTATTATGGAATATAATATATAATTAAATATAATATTAATTATAAATATGTGTGAGTGTATGTTATATTATATATCATAAAATTTAGATTCTGATTTAAACCAGAATGAAAATAATGAAGGAATAAGAAGTGACTGACTCTGAATGTACACTGAAAGAGAGACAAAGGGATTTGCTGAACAATTTGGTGAGGATTTTATCCTTGGAAAGAAGGAGAGGACATATGCACAGCTATAAGATTTTTGGGACCTGAGTCAATGGAATGATGAAATTTCCATAAACTAAAATGGGACAGAGTGCAAATAGAGTCGGTTTGAAGAGAGTATTAGAGTTCTGTGTGAGAATGCTAAATTTTATGATACATGCAAAGAGTGATGATGAAGACATAATAGGATATGCAAGTCTGATATTCAGGCAAAGACCCAGACTGGAGATATAAATTTAGGA